AGTAGCTTTGTTTATATACAGTTAACTCCCTTTAAGTGCATGTCTTCTAAGTACAGGTTCTCTCTATCTGCAGGAAAATAGCTTGGTCTCAAGTCAGGACTTAAAAAATAAATGCATGTTCTATATTCTCTAAGTACAGGTTATTTTTTAAATTATATATATATAAATATTCTCTCTAAATGTATTTTAATATATTAGCCAATCAAATTTGAGAATATTTATTTAGATAACAAAACAATTGAAATTTATATATTTTATTCCTTTAATACTAATAATATATAAAATCTTTAAAAATCAATAACTTTTAATCTACTAAACCAATTTGGGTAATTTAACTACCAAAATGATCCTCTTATAAAGACTATTCCAATGAATCTAAAATCAGCCAGATCTAATCATGTGATCCCAAGATCATTAATGTTTGTATTATATTTACTATAGTAAATATAATACAAAACATTAAGGTTTTCGGAATTCTATAATTAGATCTGGCTAATTTTAGTTCATTTGAATAGCCTCTATAAGAGGATTATTTTGGTAGTTAGATCATCCAAATTAGTTCAGCAGATCAAAAGTTATTAATTTTAAGATTTTATTATTTTTTATAAATAAAATTTTTAACAATTTTAATTTTTCTTTAATTGCAGATTTTCTCTAAATGCAGGTCAAAGTACTGGTCTCAGCAATATGCACTTAGAGGGAGTCAACTATAAAGTGTTGTTGTATAGATTATTGTAAAAGCATTTAAAGATGCTATTTCTACTTAAAGCTAAATTCATAATATTTACGAGTTTATTATTTAAGAAAATTGCATTTTTATAAAGTCAAAAACTGTATTTGAATTACTTTAAACTTATACTAATTATTTTATTTTTAATATAACTATTGTCTCTTATAAATGTTATAAAATTACTTAATTGCCTATCTAGATAAAATTAGCATTATTTTTATATTTAGAATTGGGTAAAACAAATATATAAACAATGTAGTACAAAATCTGAAGTAGGCTTGTATATATAAAATTTTTATATAGTTTAAAGAATGTTAAAACCCTTTTTACTCATATATTCTTATCTACAAGTCTAATTTTAATGAAATTTTACCAGTAGATGCACAAGAACCTGCTATACAACTTTATTTAAAGCTAAAAATAAACTTACTATAAAAAAAAACTTTTTATTACATCTAAAACAGATTTACTAATATATTTATTTATTTGTTTATCTCTAATTTCAAATATAGTAATAATGTAGGCATATGCAGTCTATGCCCATCTAGGTAAGATAATTAGTTTACCAAATATAAATAAAGTAGATAGCAGTGCTGGATATAAAGGTACTAGGGTTAAACATATGTTGGGTATGAACCGGTTAGATTAAATTCGATACTGTAAATACAATTTGTATGAGGATCCTTGTAATCTTCTATATCCAAAATGTCAATAAACTCTAGTCTCTGGACACTTAACAAAAAATATATATATATATAGTAATAATATAGCTATTGTACTGATCTTATCTGAGTTGGCAATGAAATTCTTTTTATATATATATAATCAAAGCTATAGCAATATTACTTGCTTCTTCTGTTAATATAAATACTTACAATTATTTGTCAAACCTTATAATAAAAATAATTTGAAAGTTTGAATTCTTTAAAAAGTTTGTATATTAAACAGTTTGAATTATATACTTATGGATTTACTGCAAATAAAGAAAAGTAATAAAAAACAAAATCATTTTTCTTTAGAAAATAAACTAATTAAAAGATCATCTATAAATTTACCTTGTAAATCTGATATAGTTAAAATTTTTAATGATTCTTCTAATAAAGAAAATAAACCAATATTAGAAATTTATAACAAACAAATTTTTAAAACATGGAATAAAGTTGAAATCTTTTTAAAACAATATGGATTAAAACAAGGTTTTAGTTTTCAAAAAAGGTGTACTAAGTTATATTTTGAAGATGGTATACAAGTTTTGCACAAAGTTAGTTAGAAATATAGTAATACTAGCAAATATCAATTTAAAAAAGTTCTAAATCTGGAAAACTAAAGAAATTGTAAGTTCAAGTGCACAGAATGTAAATAGTGAGTGAATGCTAAATTGCCAAAATCTTCTTCAATTATTATATTTGCAACTGTTGTAAATTTATACAATCATCTAATATTATCTGCACTAGCAATTACAATTGCAAGTTATTATAAGTTGGATGAGAAAATATTAGAATTTGTTGATTTCTGTATAATACATAGTACAACTAGTATATAAAATATAGAATAACTTCTTAGAGACAAATTTTTTAATTGAAAAGAATAATACAAAGCACAAAAAAAAAAAATTGTTATTTAAAAATAAATTAGACGTATCAAATTTTTTATTATATTTATACAACTTCAAAAAGTTATGAGTTAACTTTCTGAAATTAATTTTACTAAAATACCATTTCACCAAAATCACAATACTGATGTCTTTAACAAGACATAATTTTAAAAATATTATTTTATCAAAAGTTCATTTAACTAAAAATAAATTTTGCTGATAAGTTATTTATCTACAATTTTTATTTTACTGAATATTAAAAAAATAAATGTTTATTTTACTAACATACTATTTTACTGAATAGTATATTTTTTTGATATTCTATTTCTTTGAAAATTTCTTACTAAAAGCTTTTTTACCAAAAGATGTTTTATTAAATTTACAGCTATTCTTATATTCATTTAATAAACCAAAATGATTCTATTACAAAATCTAAAAGCCAGAGGTGTGGCAACTTAGTGTAGTGGTCTAGTTGTCACCCTCTCCAAGCGACAGGTCTAGAGTTCAAATCTCACAGACGATGATATTTAAATAAAATTGGGCCTGTATTCTAGTTAATAGTTATGATTATTAGTTAGATCTAGAATCAAATCTGTAACCTTGATCACACTATCTAGTTATAGAAGCTTTGGTATAATAAATCCAGAAAACCGGATTAACTAAAAACCCATTTGGGAAGTTCCGAGTTGAGAAGTAGCATGATTTTTGACGGTACTACAGGAAGGCTAAATTTGGAACCAGAAACTGAGATTGGAAAACTAAGTGACCAATCTGGGCATACTAGCTGAACTGCCGGATAAACGCACTGGAGGAAAAGAATATATGCTCTGAAAGTATATACCAAGGGGAGGATGACTATAAGGCACTTAAAGCCTGGGCAGATCGACCCTTCTAAGTTGCTGGCTAGAAGCAAAGGAGAGACCGATAAAGAATCCGAGAAAGAAGGAGATCTAAATGTGGGTATTGGGGTTGTGTGAACTGAACAAGAGCAAGTAATTGTAGGGGTTTAATGGTTAGCTCTAATCCCAAGTACATGGGTAAAGCTATGGTATAATTATAGTAAGTCTAAATAGCTACATATGTGGGACATGTACTAGCTTAGCCAGATATTACCTTAGGGATAAAGCAGCCCTAGACACCTAATCATAGTTTGGTTTATCAGAGGTTCCACATGTAGAAGTAAGTTACAATCAGAGGGTTTAAATAGGTAACTTCATAGTTTGGGTTGCAGATATAGCAAATAGTGTAGAACCTTTGGGTGGACTACTTAAATTAGGCACCAAAAGTGCACATGTGGCTTGATGTACTCTTATTGTAACAGAAACAATAATCTTTAATAAATACAAATATCGACATGGCCAATGAGGTCACTGTTTAAAATAAAAAAAATAAAAAAAAAATCTAAAAGCTATTTTTTTAAAAGAATATAATATCTACTGGTTAGTATTATAACTAATGCTAGCTAACTTTGTAGATATTAGATACTTTTGGAAATTTGTTTTTTAGGATTTTGTAGATTTTATTACAAAAATTCCAAAAACTATTTTCTTGAAAGAACATAATACTAACTAAATTGGCTAATATTATAACCAATGCTAGCTAACTTTGTCAGTATTAGGTTCTTTTGGGAATATGTCTTTTTGGATTTTGTAGTAAACTATCCAAAAAAGGTATAGTGATTCTTATATTGTCTTTTAAGTTAACTAGAAAAGTTAATATCAAATAGTGTCACGAGGTTTTCTAGAACTTCTATATACTGATAGGTCTTTACTTTTTATTTTTACTCGCTTGGCTATTATTTTTGATAACTGTATATCATATAGATCCTTTCACCAATATTATTATTCTCACACAGGTAATAGTTTATTCACTAAGTTCGTTTTTCACTAAGTAAGTTCAAAGCTTACAACTTTCAAAGCTAAGAAAACTGGATTCTTTTCTTTTTAGGATTAATACCTTATTTATTAATTACTAATTATAATACTATTCAGCATCACTGATTATTACATACTTATATATCACCTATGCAATCGCTATTATTAATAATTACTATATTATTTATGCAATCACTACTTTAACTTTTAATTTATCCTATACAAACTCTGAATCACGCCATTTACACAAATTGGAATTATGATCCAATCATAATCTCTTGCCTTTGTACTATAAATATCTGAGCACCAATATTGATCATAACAGGAGCTAGATCCTTCAAAACTTTTGTCTTTGAAGCTTTAACCTAAATCAATTCACTAGCACAACAAAATAACCCTGCAAAATAATGTTTATACAAAGTTCTTTTAATACAAAGATTGTTTTGATTACTACATATATATACTAATGCAAATTTTTTTTTTTTATTAGCTTTCAATAAAGCAAACCATTCCTCATGTTGTAACTTCTCTCAAACTCAAATGTTCAATCATCTGCATATCAACTCAATTTCCCAATATTGCATATTCTAGTTCATCACAGCTAATTATATAATCCAAGTAGATACAATTGTAGAATCTTTTTTTCTTAACTTGATCCAACAAGTTCAATATCATTATTATATTCCTTTCACAAAACTTCTGCATTTTAGGCCTCATGCTACTATTCTATTCGCATTTAATATTACAATATTACTTGAACAATAGCCCATAATTTGTCTCTTTTTTTGTTTTTATTTTATCAATGTCAGTCATCATTGCTTTATTTTTAACAACTTCATCACAATCTTCACTTTGCTTTTTATTCAATCCCTTGTTTACAATTTCATTATCAGCAACTTTTTATTAACACCATATTGCTATTTCTACAATTTCTATCTTTATCGATTTTGTCAATTTCATCACTAGATACTTCTTCGTCATATTTAATCTTTCGGATTCGTTGGATCATTTCTTTACTTAGCACTAGCAAGTCATTAATTCATTATTTCACTCAAATGCTACCTTTTCTTTCTTGGTTGTACCTTCATCTTTGTTATAGCTAGATCTATAATTATTTCTTTTATTCAAATCTCCATTTTTAACAAAGTTCAAATACTGTTTAGCCATCTCATTTCGTCCTTTTTAACACTGATTTTATTATAATCAACTATTGTCACTTTACTATCTGAGCTAGATTTCCAAAAACCTTTAGGTTTGTCTTTTCTTTTTATTTTTCTTTTCATTTTCAAATTGTTTTGGCCATTTGAATTAATATTTGCCTTTTTCTTTATTCCTGATTTATCCATCTCAACACTTTCCTCATATATTCAATTACTCTTTACATGTTTATTGTTATCACCAAACCTCATAAACCTTACATCTTCGATTTTACTATTCAGATTCTTTCTTTTCTTCCATTGTTACTTTTATCAGTATTCACTTTTCTATTCACTACACCATGTTCTAATCGTTCATGTTTTATTTGATCTGAACAATCACAAGCTAAGTGGCCTGGTCTTCTATACATATAACATAGCCATGGCCTATAGTTAACACCTTTCCTTTGTACCATTTTTAGGTTTTTTATAATCTTCGCAGTTATCATTTTTATAATTTTTTTAATTATTGTTATCAGACTATCTATGCTTTTATATACTATTTTCAGATAAGCTCTCTGTCTCTTATGTTATTTTTTTTTTATTAATTATTCACTTCTAACATTCTTAGAACTTTTTCTTTTTAATCTTGATCACTTGAAACTTTAATTATACAAATTACCAATCTAATTCATCTAACCAATATCTCAATATATAAGTTGGTCTTTTACTAGGCCTTGCAATAATTAACACTTTTTCAATATCTATTGATTCTTTATACTTGAAACTCAAGTTTGTTCCAATAATATGTTCACAAAGACCTTCATTTTAATTCAAACTATGCAGTTTAATAAGGGTATTGCTTTTTACTCAGGTTCTTCTATCACAGTTTATCTTGGTACTACTATATATTAGTGGGTCTTTACTATTGGTTTCTATCCACTTGGCTAATTTAATCAAAGACTGTATATTGTACAGGTCCTTTCGCTAATATTGTATATATACAGATAATAGTTTATTCACTAAGTTCATTTTTTACTAAGTAAGTTCAAAGCTTACAACTTCCAAAGCTAAAAAGTTAGATTTTTTTCCTTTTGGAATTGATACTTTATTTATTAATTACTAATTGCTATTCAGCATTAATGATTATTATATACTTTCATATCACTTATACAATCGCTATTATTAATGATTACTACATTGTTTATACGATCACTACTTTAACTTTTAATTAATCCTATGCAAACCCCAAATCATGCTATTTATACAAATTGGGATTATAACCTGATCATGATCTCTTGCCCTTGTGCTATAAATATCCAGGGCACCAACATCAACCATAACAAATAGCATTAAGAGAAAATTAAATAAAGAATTATACAAATTTGTTCAATTGAAAGATACCTTATTGAGAATTTTTTTTTTAGAGCAACAGCTTTTGGGAAACAGAGAAAAAGAATTGTTTTTTCGAAGAAGCATTCTTTCAGAAAAATATATTATATAATATTTGTTGATGAAAAGTTTTCAAAAAAAGTTTTTGTTAAAGAAACAGAAGTTTAAAGAAAAGGTTTTGTCAATGAAAAAGTTTGTTGAATAAATTTTTTTTAAAAGTTTAGGTTGTTGGGGAATTGGCTATGTTGAAAAAAAAAATTTGGTAAAAAATTTTTTTAGTAAAAAATACTGTCAGAAATATGTCTTGTTAAAAAAAAAAGATTTCAGTATTATAAATGAAGAAATAGTATTTCAGAAAGGCAGGTTTTAGAAAAGTAAGAATTAACAACTTCAAAACTAATAATCCTGAATAGTTTATAGAAGCATGATTTGATGGTCCAGAGTGAAGATTGTGCAGTCTTATTTGGCTTTCTTCTAAACAACAATTTATTTAGATAGAGTTTCATGATATTATTTTTTTGTAATCATACTTGTCTAATTGCTATTGCCTTGTTGAAAGATAAAACTGAAGATAGCTTTACTTGGGCTTTTTACATGGTTAACAAATATACTGATAATTTAACTTTATGAATAGTTTATACTAATTCCAAATCTAACAATATCAAATACAATTTTGACAAAGTTTTTAAACTCATTATATTGTTTATATATGTTTCATATCAACTTTAATCTAAAAAAAAATTTGAGAAATAAACTGGGTATAGTTCAATTTAATGAATTCCATAAGGAGTTTTATATTTGCTAAAATACAATAGTTGTTGATATTTTTAAAAACAAATTTGAGTTTTTTAAGTCAAAATATCCAGTTACTATTAGCTATATTAAATGTCAGCTTGAACTTTCTAAAATAAAATGAGCTATTTGTTATATCAACAACCAATTTACCGCTAGAGCCAATAGCACACAACAAGTTGAAGGTTTTAACAAAAAAGATCATAATAGTATTAAAGCAAATTCTTCTTTGACAACTTTAGTTAAAGAAATTCAAGATATGCTTGATAGAAAAGCTAAATATACTCAAGTAGAGGAATATAAACATCAAATATTAACTGTTGGGCTTGCTACTACACCAAAAGTTTTTTTTAAATCTTTAAAATTTATTATAAATAAATATCTTACAGAACCAGTATCAATAAATATTTGCAAACAAATGTGAGAATATTTCTTTTATGATATCTATAAACTTAATACTACAGATTAGAGCTTAATTGAAAGTGTAAACTATTTATTTGTTTTATTTATTTGCAAAATAGTAAATTATTATTTTTTTATTTAGATACATTCAGATAATAATATAAATAATGAGGTACATGAAGATGACTATGAATTAACTCAAATTTTATTGTCTAATATTTTAAAAACAATTGAAAGCTCAAAAATTCTTAAAATCTGATATCTTAATTTTTCATACAGTACAAAATATCAGTTTGTAGTATTTTTTTTTTTTTTTTTTTTTTTTTTATAAATTCGGCAGTCATGCCAAAACTTTATTAGACTTTGTACAACCAGCTATA